AAAATAAACAAATAAAATAAATACTATTAATTTCTATAAAAAATTTAATTGTTTATATAAATCAAAACCAAACATACAATAATTTAAAAATTTAAAATATAAAGAATGAATAAGAATACTAAAAGTATTTAGTTTATGTAGGTAGTTAAGTATCTAATAGTTACTAGTTATTTTCTTAATGGTATTTAAAAATATATTTACAATTTACATTACAGTTTAACAATGTTGAGTAGATACTCACGGTGGAGGAATAAACTTAATGGAAAGCACAAAGTTGTTATTTAACAATTAAATTAAAACTGTGCCAGATATATCGCACAGTATTTTAAGTTTAAAAGTGGTAAATTAGGTGTTGTAAATGTAGAAATACACACATTTATGAGTGTACATATATTTAAACATAGTTAGTATAAAAGATAAACATTGCRGATACCAGAAAATTAAGGCAAGATTCATTGCAATACAATAGTAAGATGATTAATATATATGTATATATATTATATATAGATATATATGTTAAATMAAAGGTTAAATTCATACAAAAATAAAATGTTATTATGTTCTTCCTTAACAATATTCCCAACTAAGAAATAAATTAAAACTATAAAACACCATTTTATTAATTTGTAAAGTAAATACTATTGGATGGACATAATGTCAGGGCACTTTACTTAATACTATTGTTCATTGRTTTTCAAGCAATAATACAAATATAATGAAACAATAATATACTAGGTACAAGATCGATTTTTATTAAATAAAAATCATAAAAACTTTGAGCAATGCATGAACAGCTTTAATAATGGATTTGTTCGAAGTTAAACTATTAAAGGAATGCATAGTAGTGAGTAAGAGTAACAGTTATTAATGAAATTGTAATTTAATTTGTTAAAAATAATGGGTTTCAGTGATTTAAATTCAATTCTATTGAAAAAATAATAATACTTTTGACACATGTTATGTCAATGTTGTATAAACCTTAGTAAGAAAAATTTGGCAATTTTTTTGGAAAAAGAAAACATTATTTTACAGAGTTGTCATTATCAATTAATAATGTTATTACTGGAATGAATAAAATAGTCAGTTGGCGTTTGCTTAAAAATTACAGTTTTGATAAATTTTAGGCAGTAATATTAATTTATTTATGGATTACACAATTGAGCTTCATTTTTTTAAACTCTAAACACTATGGAACTGAAAAACAATTTGCCTATAGTAAATGCTTACAAATTATTTCATCATTCAAACAATGTGTGTATATTTATGTATATATATACATATTACAAAGTTCAATGATTGGATAAGATTAATAAGACTATATCATTAAAACTAACGTAGTAAAAAATAAAAAGAGTATTGTTATGATAAATGTGGTACACACACACACACATATTATTGGTAACAAGTTTGACAGTCTAAGTTACATAACAACTGTTCAAACAAGATTGTACCCGATTCATACAACTTGGTCAAATAATAATTAGATAAATAATAGTTATAAATAATAATATGATTTTAAACATATTATTATGGCACTACTCGTTTCAGAATAATCCTTTTTTCTTGATTTTTTTCTCTTTTCCATCAGTAGTTCTACAACACAAATAAAGAATTTTTTATCAAACATACTGTATCAATTTGATTAATTAAAAAATAAGTTATAATTATTTTAATGCATGTAAGAAATATGACATACTCTCTTTCTAATGATCGCCTTCTCAGTTCGTCAAGACTAACACCACTGCTAGATTCCCAGTCTCTGATTTCTAATTCAAGTTGACGACGCCTTTCATCCAATTCACTAGCTTCAGATTCTAATCTCTTCAACATTTGTTCATTCTTTTGTTGTAACTGTTGAAAAAAATGTATGATAAATAATTTTTTTTACTACATCATAAAACCGTAGGACTAATTAGAATTAAGTTTAAGACCAATAAAAAAAAAMCCAAACACTAACAGCGATTTCTGAATCTTTAAGTTTCTGTTTTTTTTCTTTGACTTTCATCTCAAAAACTTGTTCCATTTCAGTTTCCATTTTCTTAAGTTTGGCATCATGATCACGTTTCTCATCTTCCATTTGGGCTAATGGATTCCTATTATCAAAAATAGACAATAATAAATTATGTAAATTCAAACACCAACAGACTTAAAATGCTATACCAATCAATTTCAATGTTTTTTTACAATCTTAATTTGTTGTAAATTTATTGGACTAATTTTTGGATGAGGGAAAAGTTATTGTTTCTTTCATACTATTAACTGAAACTTACCAAACGGCAACGAAGGAATTGTTGATTGCTCCTGGGGCGCACGAGCTGGACCAGTGTGTAAGAAAATAATAATAATTTTTTTTTAATTGATATTATAAACATAATCAGTATAATGGTTCTAAAAAAGCTGTTGTTCACAAAAAAAAGCATTCAATGCTTGAACTACAAAACACTAATCTAATTACTTTTCTTATTAAACAAGAATTATAATCAAGAAGTTCTAATAATTTTCAACTTACACTCATAAATTAATATTTAATAGTATCTTTTTCTCTTGATAGTTATTATTTTTAATAGGTGTAGTGAGACTTCTATATAGTAAAAATATTTCTTCTTATAGTGTATTTTATCAAGGGGTGAAT